GAGTCTATCTAAAATACAGGACCATCAAACAATTCAACACATTCAGCCTACAAGACAGGGGCTATTAGACAGAGTCAAGTTCTTATAGACATCAATTTGTCTCCTGAGCATTCGAGTATGAGCACAGTTTCATCATGAGAAATCTCTCATGTTAGCAGTTGCTCAGTACACAGGTGACAAAGTGAGTGAAATGTTCGAAAACGTTAAAATAAAATAATAGTTTAACACTTGTTTGGATATAATTAATCAAGATAAGTTTATATGTTTAAATTTCATTTACTTGCTAGGCGGCAGAGAGTTTAGAGTCTTATAATTTTAGCATAAGTTCAAGATCTCTTAGGGCGAAACAAAAGTGAAAAACAAATTGCAGGGTAAGGAAATGACAATGCATCGACGGCCTCCATAGTTCATACAAAAAGTTAAGAGTGTACGTAAAATGTGTACGTGATATCCGCGGTGTTTCGGCAGGGGACCAGCTCTATTAAATGGGCGCGCACTTTTTTATTAATGAAGTTGCGTTATTGTTATGATGTCACTGGGCTTAAGCAGATTGTTGAGTGTGTAGGGCCTACACTTGAATGAAGTTTTTGGCGGGTTGTCAATCACTGTTGAGTGTGTAGGCCTACACCCGTTCAGTGTGTTTGTGGAGATCAGACAAACAATCAACAACAAGTCTGTTATGGTTTCGTCTGTCGGCATAAAAAGTTCTAGCTAATTTATTAATTTACCTACGCACATGAGAACACTTTAAATACGTGTCACCAAAAATGTTCCTTTTTCATTCGGAAACTCAGCGATTACCAGCTAATAACATGCCTGAAAATCGGTGCCGTTATATAATATCCTCTTCGAAGCCCCATTCCTACCTCCCCATTGCGAGCAGGGATAACTATAACACTGACATACATACAAACACACGCAGTGCCCAGGGATGTGAATGATCATTTACCGTCGAAACCCTATTTCTGTCATTTTAAAAACCATTCGATAACAAAAGGGGGCGAGTTTAGGAACAAACTTTCCGCACGTAGGAGTATGACGTCAAGGGGGCGAGTTTAGGAACAAACTTTCCGCACGTGGGAGTATGACGTCAAGGGGGCGAGTTTAGGAACAAACTTTCCGCACGTAGGAGTATGACGTCAAGGGGGCGAGTTTAGGAACAAACTTTCCGCACGTAGGAGTATGACGTCAAGGGGGCGAGTTTAGGAACAAACTTTCCGCACGTAGGAGTATGACGTCAAGGGGGCGAGTTTAGGAACAAACTTTCCGCACGTGGGAGTATGACGTCAAGGGGGCGAGTTTAGGAACAAACTTTCCGCACGTGTGAGTATGACGTCAAGGGGGCGAGTTTAGGAACAAACTTTCCGCACGTGGGAGTATGACGTCAAGGGGGCGAGTTTAGGAACAAACTTTCCGCACGTAGGAGTATGACGTCAAGGGGGCGAGTTTAGGAACAAACTTTCCGCACGTAGGAGTATGACGTCAAGGGGGCGAGTTTAGGAACAAACTTTCCGCACGTAGGAGTATGACGTCAAGGGGGCGAGTTTAGGAACAAACTTTCCGCACGTGGGAGTATGACGTCAAGGGGGCGAGTTTAGGAACAAACTTTCCGCACGTGTGAGTATGACGTCAAGGGGGCGAGTTTAGGAACAAACTTTCCGCACGTGGGAGTATGACGTCAAGGGGGCGAGTTTAGGAACACACTTTCCGCACGTGGGAGTATGACGTCAAGGGGGCGAGTTTAGGAACAAACTTTCCGCACGTAGGAGTATGACGTCAAGGGGGCGAGTTTAGGAACAAACTTTCCGCACGTGGGAGTATGACGTCAAGGGGGCGAGTTTAGGAACAAACTTTCCGCACTTGGGAGTATGACGTCAAGGGGGCGAGTTTAGGAACAAACTTTCCGCACGTGGGAGTATGACGTCAAAGGGGCGAGTTTAGGAACAAACTTTCCGCACGTGGGAGTATGACGTCAAGGGGGCGAGTTTAGGAACAAACTTTCCGCACGTGGGAGTATGACGTCAAGGGGGCGAATTGCATGGCGTCCTTGCGATCGGATTGAAACAAACGTTCGAAGAAATAAGAATGATGCTTTTTGAACAATCAAATTGACCATTACCTACTAATAGCCTTATTAATTACTGAAATACAATATAATTATATGGCAAATCACTTTATTCGTATCTAAAAGCATTTAGTTTGGAATCTGGGACAGACACGACGTTGTCCTTTTTTCAGCTGAAGTAGTCTGGGAAAGCAAGAAGTGAGGTCACTAAATGGGTAGGAATAAGCTATCATGCAAATCTTTTTCTTATTTCTTCAACTTGAAGATAGTATTTCAAAAAGATACAAACGAAGGAAAGAACCCCACTTTAAAGGAGAGACATTGCAAAAATAATTTATTTCGCCTTGAGCTTTTTCGGAGAAGAATGATTTTTCTTTGTAATTTCGTGAAAGGATATTTTTTCTCGACCTGGACAAAGAAATTTCGTGTTGTGGACACTGTTGAAAAAAGTAACTCGTGAAAAAAGTAGTTTTTCAAAAAATGTTTTGTTTACAAAACACAGCCGCCTGTGCGTAATCGAAATGATCACGGTGTAGTCTCGTACTTGTGCATCTGTGACCCCAAGAACTACCGATAATGCGACAGCAGATAGTGGACACAAAGCTTGCAGGCGACTCGAGCCATGTATTCTCAGCTCACCAGTGACACGCAGTGACAATACAGTCGCTGGTGAGTGAGAGATGAATCGCTCGAGTAGCCTAGCTATTAGAACTAGTTACTACTGGCGACAGTCGTGGGGATACACTGGTACTTCTTGTGGTGCAATGTGATAATGTAGTGTCGTGTGCCTAGTACTGGTGGAATTAGTGTTCTTAATCAAAATATAAATGTATATAAACAATAACATAAAACACATAAATAAAAAAGAACCACAACTTAGTGGATTAGTAAAGGTTTCCTTCAAATGAATTTCGATTCCAAGCCAAAATTAAAGTACTGATACAACACAGTACGCAAAAAGAGTTGATTTCTTTATTAATATTGATTATTGCAAGACCACCTTAGTATATGGTTTTAGCTAGTTGAATCTTTATACTCGACGCGTGAAACGCGAATATTTCCTCTTCTCGAAAAATCGTATTTAAAAGTTACATTACATGATTTGTGTCTTGTGGAAATGATTTATTGAATAAGAAATAGTACTGCATACATCCAATAATAATAGCAATAATAATTATAATAACAATAATAATAATAATAATAATAATAATAATAATCATAATAATAATAATCATAATAATAATAATAATAATAGATCTAATAATGATAATAATAATAATAAAATAATAATAATAATAATAATAATAATAATAATAATAATAATAATGTTCATTTGTATAGCGCATGTCCACTTAGAAAGTGTGTCAGCCCCCTTTACAATGATACAGGCATTCGGTTCCAATAGTTTCCTCTCCCCTCCCCTTATGTCCCCTCTCTCTCTGTTTCTCTCTCTCTCTCTCTCTCTCTCTCTCTCTCTCTCTCTCTCTCTCACTCTCTCTTTCTCTCTCTCTCTTTCTCTCTTTCTCTCTCTCCCTCTCTCTCTCTCTCTCTCTCTCTCTCTCTCTCTCTCTCTCTCTCTCTCTCCAGTACATGTTTGAGTACAGTCCCACAAAAAATAACTTGCACACGTACACGTCGATGATGACACATAGCCACTTGTTACAGAACAATATTATGAACAAACAAAAAAATATACTAATACTTTTAATAGAACAGGTGGTTTGAGAAGGTCGCCATGTACATAATAATTATAGCTGACCACAAACAATTAGTGTCTTTCTAGCGATGATTTGAAATTTGTAACAATGGTCGATTTCGTAGATGTACCGTTAATGCTTCCCCTAAGGAAGGGGCGTGGTGTTTGTTTAGTGCCCATAACAGTATAATTGGCACAATGTTCTTAGCTCATCTAAAATTAGGGACAGCTGTTGTGTACTGAATACGTGCTAGTTTTGCTAATGAGAGAAGCTTCAACTTGTTGATCTACCTATAACAGCTATTTTAAACTAATGTAGCAGTTCGGTTGAGTTTTTCTTGATTCCCCTTTCCCTAATGCCTATAATTATTGTGTGACATGAGGGTTCCTGGTGCCAGTACAATTAAAACTGCTAAACTTGATTACTATCGTTTTTACCTAGCTGGGGAAAAAAAGCTTTATCTTTTAGTGCTTTATATATGGTTCCGATCTTTCAAAAAGCAGCAAAGCGCAGTATTTTCGTATTTCTATTTAGAGATCCCTTGTCTGTGCTTTTTGAACAAAAAGTGGAAATTAAAGATAATAGAAAGCAATAAAAAGGCTACTGTGAACCTTGGTCAAATATCCGTTCAAAAAAGTTAAGTATAGCATTAAGTTATGACATTATACTAGAATCCGTATTTATATATATATATATATATATATATATATATATATATATATATATATATATATATATATGCTATATTATATATTTTATAAAAGACCTCTCCCAATCCCATCACCTCATCCCATCACCGCCTAAAACCCCTAGTCTAGTGTGTTTCGAGATAATTTGTCTTTGCTCCAAAAGCAGTAAGTTAATCCTTACATAAAGACAGAAAATCAATAATTTCACTTTACATGTAAAAGAAATGTTACAAGTAGAACGCTAAATGACTCTGGCAATTTGAAAGCGACAGCCACGTGGTTTCCTGTCTCGGTGAATTGATAGAGTCACTAAATTGACCGAAGTGAAGTCAATAGGCTACGAGGTAGAATTCACTTCTTTAAACGGTTTGAGTTCGTTTAAAAGGGGGTGGAGACTTGAATTTGCTGTCATTTTGTTCGTTGCGCACGCCATTCTGTTGGATCTAGACATTATACCCACGGGTTACCTCATCAACAACAATAAGGTTGTGTGTGGTTAATGGATTATAATCTTCTAGTCATATTTTTGTAACATCATTTCTTCAACAGAGCAAGCACAATGGAATCTTCTAGCATACTTTTGATCCTTGTCGTCCTTGTGATAGGCACGTCCACTTGCCTTGCACAGATTCACTTCTCGCCCGACTGGGGTACAGGGAAGAGGGCGGTCTCCACTGTCACCGAGAAGGAAATCCCACACTGCTGGCAGATCGCGGACAAAGAAATCATCGATATCATGCTTTTAATACAGGTGAGATGATAAGTAATAGGAGGGAGCCCATTGTGACCATTTGTTTTATTTGGGGTTTATTTTGTTTTATTGGGGCTTGGGGTTTATTTGATTGGTTTGTTGTGGTTTTCTTTTTTGTTGGAGCCGGTTGCTTTTTCACAAAAAAGGGGTGGGGCTGAAATATGCGCGTAGTGTTAGTGAATAGATTGGGTGTAATTTTTTTTTAGATGTGGACAGGACCCCAGTCTGTGTATGTCACCCTGGCCTATCTGTCACATGTATTACTGCGTGATGGTTTGGCGTGGAAAATTCTGAGGACACGACATTCGATTTTGGGAAATAGCATATTTTTTTCTTCTAGTAGGACAGCAGCACCCCCTACCCCATCCCCACCCTAATCACCACACATACACACACACACGCACGCGCGCGCACGCACACACACACACATGCATGCTATTCTCCGCCATGATCAACATCATCGTCGTTGTCATCATCGTCGTCATCATCATCATCATCATCATCATCATCATCATCATCATCATCATCCAAAGTGAGAGAGATTAAATCATATCTCCCGAACTTTTTGTGGGATTACTCGTTTGCAGATCGTGCATTGCTTAACAAAGCGCAGAGTTATATTGAGGTTCTTTCAGCAGAAAAGACGGAGGCCAATAATTTGACCTTCAGGGGGGACAAGTAAGGGTCACTGTTTCCTAAAAGAGAATTTCTGTGTTGAACGAAATTGGTCATTTTTTTATTTTTGTTAAATTTGTAGCTTTGCAGATATCAGACTAGTCGGCTAAGCTAAGCTGCTTTGTGTGTGTTTGTGTTCGTGTGTGTGAGAGTGTGTTTGTGTGTGTTTGAGCGTGGGTGGGTGGGTGTGTGTACGTGTGTGTTAGTGTGCATTATGGTGCTTTCTATGTAAGCAGTACCATTTGTTCTCTTACCATGCGGATGCTTGAAGAGTGATACCAGTAGATACTACTTCTAACCCTCCATCAATTGTTATGCCAATGAGTTGTGTCTTTTCCTTACACTAAATAACCAATATTGTGTTGAAGTAGTTCTTTTCCTGCGAATCTTACCCAAAACTCTATTAACACCACGGCAACTAACTGAAAAAAACGATGCTTAGAGACCAGAAAAGCTCAAAGTGGTTTGTTCGCCGAAGGAAGGAAGAACAATATCGGTACAACTGCTCAAACCGGCGTACCATGAGGTCGATTAGTTTGGGGGAAGGTTAAAGACTTCCTCTCTGATGTAATATCTGAAAGTATCGAAGGGATGGGTCAACGTTTAGACCCGCGGGATCGGTATTACAATTTTCAGAACATCTCAATTACTTTGTACTTTGTAGTAGCTTTGGAGGAAAGATCATTTCTTGGCGCTCATATGACCTTATTATGCAGTTGCGAACGGCGTAAAACCTTCTACTATAAAAAAAAAGATAAAAAAGATCATTTACAAAAAGATTGTTCACTCAGCCCAATAAAAGCGACGATGTCCGCTCTAATTGTCTGAAGGTTCAACTGTCACTTCTTCGGTGCTTAGTGCTTTCTTTCGTTTCTCGAGAAGGAAGTAGCCCATGTTTGACTTTGAAAAGCAATGTTTATGTTGTAACTCTGTACCTCGATCCGATTTTCTCTTAGCTGGGCTCTAACCAACAGCGGCATTATAGCCTCTCAGACCGAAATAATCTAATTAAACAGCAAATACGATCACACCCCTCCCCCACCCCACCCAGCACACTGTGCACATACTTCTCGTGACTATACCGTACTGTAATAATGATAATGATAATAAAAATAATCATAATAATCATAATCATAATCATAATAATGACAATAATAGTAAAAATAATAATAATAATAATAATAATAATAATAATAATAATAATAATAATAATAATAATAATAATAATGTTGACAACGATAATGATATTAACGATAATAATAAGAATAATCAATAATTTATTATTATAGCTCGTCTGTCAAAGTCTGACTATGAGCCATACATCCGCAGAGGAGAATATTTCTCCAGCGAAAAATTTAAAAGAATAATTTGAAGAAATGAAGGTTACGATGACTTGTCACTTCTTCTGCGGCAGGTAAGACCAATTTTGGAAGAGAAAGGTTTGCAGCATTTTTTTTATTTAAATGCTCCAATTTCACGTGTATCTCATAATAATAAGAAGAAGAAGAAGAAGAAGCAGAAGAAGAAGAAGAAGAAGCAGAAGAAGAAGAAGAAGAAGAAGAAGAAGAAGAAGAAGAAGAAGAAGAAGAAGAAGAAGAAGAAGAAGAAGAAGAAGAAGAAGAAGAAGAAGAAGAAGAATTATCATTATTATTATTATTATTATTATTATTATTATTATTATTATTATTATTATGGTAATAGAAAGCATTTGTATAGCGTAAAGTACCGATCAGCAGCAAGATCTATTCGCTATACATTCTATATAATTACCCCAGCAGACCTGATAGCATTCTGAAACAATCTCAACTTCCTTGAAAGCGCACAGTGCAAGCTGCCTTCTAAAAGGCGCTAAAACACGAATATACAGACAAGATATATCATATGAAAGAGCATTAAGTAGTGGTATCGAAAATTGAGACCTAATAATGCTAAAAATAATTTTATTAGGCCTCAACGGTTTCACTTGTTGCTGCATTCATCCGAAGTACTAACTAAAACAAGCTCAATCATACAATTTTTGTTTTATAAAGCTGCAATGAGGGCGTATTTACAATGCTACCCTGGTGTATCTCATACATTTTTAGTCAGGTGTTCGCTAAGTTCTCCCTATTTCTCAGGTGGCGCCACTGGTGATATTGAGGACTTCTTTTTTTTAGTTGCTCAAAGGGTGAAATGGACCACTTTATAGTAAAGGATCGTTGGTATGGGCTGATATAATATTTATAATTATGGTGGTGCCTACCTTTGCATTACTTTTTAAAAGAAACCAAACACTTTTCAGACCTCATTTTTTTTTACAAAGGTGGCATTAAAATACTTATGTGAACCTGACAGTGCCTGATTTTCCTGATTTTACGCTTAACATTTTATACAATTTCTGAATAATATTATGTTGTTATAAAATACCCCAAAATTGCCCCATGTATTGTTTCCTATTGCTAAATTTTTATCAAAACTCGATTATTTTAACTCCTTGCTATCAGGGATATCACTGGAGAAAGTTAAAAGACTTCAAACTACCCAAACAATGCTGCCCGTTTTTTTTTTTCGGAAAAGAAAGGGAGACTCTGCTAAACCTCTTTTACGGACATTGCATTGGCTTTCTGTTGAGAAAAGAATGGTGTTAAAGTTGGCCACCCTATGTCACAAATGTTTTAGTGATAATGCTCCATCATATTTATCAAATATGTTAAGACTGTACATTCCAACTCCCAGTTTGTGGTCATCAGCTGACCCCGAAAAATTATTTTACCATCTATGAAACTTAAAAACAATGGGTAAAAGGGCATTTTAGTACCAAGGCCCCAAGATCTGGAATGCTTTACCAAGTACTTTAAGAGAGATCAAATCTTTTGATTCATTCAAATGTCAGCTGAAGTTGTTTCTGTGTTTAAATTAATAAGATGAATAATTGGAGTAATTTTCTTTTAGTCAGAACACAATGTTTTATGTTACTGTTGTATGTTGCACTGTATTGTAAAGCGCTGAGAGCCTACTGTGTACTTTCGGGATTGAGCACTATATAAATGTTATTTATTATTATCATTATTTTTATAAATGTGAGTACCTGTTGTTCCGAAAAAAGTCGAGGATGCAAGGATATAATTTACCAGGAATCCTTAAAGCCATAGAGTAGGGGGCTCCAGTGGCTGCGTTGTTAGAGGCCTCAGGGTCACAGTACTCTCAAGCGTGTGTCAGTGATACGTTGTTTTGGTGGATAGTCTCTGGGGTATGTTCTTTTGCAGACACGATAACTGTAGCTCAAAAACATGATGCTGCACAAAGGGAACCATAAACGGTGTGTGGTTTCTCTTTGACATTATGATATTGTGCATTTTCCATGCATTTATGCATTACTTTGTGATGATTTCTTCTAAATAACACATCAACGCTTAAAGGTCATAAGCGAAGCCATGGGAAGGCTTAACCAACAAACTATACGTCTTGGCAGATAAGTGCAACGTTTTAGGACAGAGAAATGCTCAGCTATCTCTGGCCAGCTGATGTATTTGTAATCAGTACAAGTTTTTTTGCAAATGTTATTTAATTTACTTAACTCCCTTTGCCATTTTAGCTAGGTGTGTAGCGTTTCCTCCTTCTTGAATATTAAAAGTCAAAATCAGTTCGTGATGAACAGACTATTTTTATCATGTAGGCAACTAGATCCAATGTATATTTTGTATTTACGTACACCACTACGAAATAGGTTTCCCAGGGGGATGGGGTGGGGTGGAGCTTCAATTAAGTGAAACGTACTGTATTTTTCTTGTTTTCTTTTTCTTTTGTAAATATATTCCAAAGATGTGGCGATGACTGGAGCGTCATCAATTAGTCACGAGTGTAGTACAATTGCGGTCGAAAGCAATACATGATAAGCCCAACGCTCTAGGTAGTCGTGCTAATGGCATGCGGGCGGCTAGTTTATGATAGTACTACTTACCTCGGATTATCGATTACTTTATCCTCTTTGTATTACAAGGCGTGTCGTAGTTGATTCCCTCCAGGTACCAAGGAACAAAATGGTTATTTGTATGTGTGTGTGCCTGATGAGATGTATCGTAAGACGCACAGACTGGAACTGAGATACAGGGCGGTAAAGGTCTAAATTCTAGGTTTTTTTTTACAAAAATGACCTCTATTCACAAGAAATAATTTTTTTGCCTTTTACCCACTGATATTTACACGGTTTTGTGTTAACGTTACGCAAAAAATTGTGTTTTGAAGATTTTTGGGTTTTTTTATTTTGGTCACAAGCAAGGAGGTTACTGTAAGCTCCTTGGTCACAATTCATCTTACATAATAACCAAGATTGCGTGGGAACATTTGCTGTAAGAGCTTACGTCGGCGGAAGGGTTCTTCGACTCATTCATAAAAACAAATCCTATAACATTGCATACAAAATTTAGGTCAATCAGTTACCGAATTCGATCTATGAAGTGCGCAACGGTGTAACAAAAAGCAGTAAAGAATAGTAGGCTTTGCTCATTTGTACCATGTCCCACGTGATGGCAAATCCGTACTTTGAAATTTCTAGATCTAGTATTATTATTTATTACGATTTCTACCCATTCAAAAAAATCAACGCTTTCACATGGCACATGAAAATGTATGCCATTTAGCGTCCTTTCTAGTGCTGTGCAGCGCGCACAATTACACTGACACATTAAATTAATGAAGGAATCATCTCCGCATACACGCTGCCACCCCCCCCCCTCCCCCAGACACAAACACTTCGTATACAAAGCGAAGACATTTTGCGAGATTGCAAGTTCTACTCGACCTTGAATTTGCTTTTAAAAACCTTATAATGACACTTTGAAACTGTTCAATTGTCTTAAACTGCATTTTTACAGCTGCCCTTTGAGTAGTAACAGTGCTGTCAAGGGTTTTGGAGACAAACAATGCGATTCGTAGATCAATCCATATTCATTTGGAGTAGAACGCGATCTAGCTATAAGGGAAACTTTAAAGCTATTTTTTCCAAACTTTTTTTTCCGTTCTGTACCTGACATATATATTAACCGGATTTCGCAAAGTACTGAAGCTATCTTTAAAACGTATTAGGCAAGTTATTCTGAGTTTGTTTTTTTTTTGTACCAGAAAATGCAATAAAACGCAATTCTTCCAAATGCGTCACACGGCACCATCCACCAGGTACACACCCATATCTCTATAAAGGGTTTTGTATCTGTTCCCCGCTATTTAGGTTAGTCACCTCAATGCTGGGCATGCTACTACAAGTGGCATATAGCACCCATGTTTGTTTTGCTTTTGTTAGTTTTTGTGTATTCTGTTCTCTTTGTAATCATCGTCCTTGAGGTATCCTGACCAAGCGTTAACATAGACGCTAGGAAAGGAATCAATGATCCTCTTCCTTCAAGAGCCACCCTCCCCCCCCCCCACCTACTTTTCTCAACCTCCCGTTACTCTGTTCTTCAAATCTGTTCCGACAGTTTTGTCCTCTTCCAGTTTGAAATCATCCTGGAAACCATCCAACTCTGGTCTGACGATGGAATACAATTACAACAATTTAAATTGCATAACTACATTTTCAATCAATGATCCTTAAGTTGAGGGGATTCAATCGGGCTCATGAGAAGTTTGCAAACATTGTGAAATTTGAAATAATATACTTTTCTCCCATTTACAAATCTGCACAACGCACAATCGTTGAAACGTCAATACATACAGCAATAAAAATGTTCATCCGACGATAACTAATGCATGTGCAGAGGATAAAATTCCTTAATTAAGCGACATGGAAGAAATAAGAATTAAGACTACTTGTGGTTGCTCCTTTGCTAATAAGACCAATTTTGACAGAGGAAATTGCCCCATTTGGAGCATTTAAATACTTCATTTCCACTAGTTGGTGTATTCAGCTTGTGGGCTTCTTTCTTGGCTTTAAAATGTCTTATTTGTGAAGCCTCATAATATTTGTATCAAAATGTGCTGCCCTCTGTGACAACTCTGCTCTCCATCTGGGTCTGCAAGGAACTAGGCTCTCACACTTCCAGGTATTAATGTTGCAAGGTGAAGTCTTTCAGAAACATTTTCAGGGTATCTCTGTAGTGCTTTTTCTCCACCAACATTACATTTTTCGAGAAGAACTATAAAAGGTAAATAAATGAGTGTAACCGAATCAACTTACTTGAAAGACAGCAAATGTTAATGAAACAGCTAACTTTTTAATGTGAGACATCGTATTCCTTTCTGTATATACAGTTGCCTGTTCAGACAAGATCTGAACTAAAAGGTACGTCAGTAAAGGATCGGTTTATCATAATTGTTCGGTTTTAAATAAGACCGTTGACGATAACATGTTATTCTCATACTTTACCTGTGATACGTGTATCCTGTTTCAATGTGACAAATGCCTTGAGACAGTGTTCCTCTGTGTTGACTTTCTGTATAACAATATAATATACATTATTCTTCAGAGAATTATCTGCTCCTTGTGTTTTGATTCCCCGCATAATAATATAGCAATATAGTACTTTGTTTTCCTGGCTCGTACAGGAATGTCTTAGTATTGGCGGGATTTTCTTCCACGTCTTCACCTAAATTTGAGATAATTCTAACCCGACAGTGCACAGTTGACATTTTATCTAAGAAAATCATGG